CTTCTAAAGAGAACGGGGTGGGGGGAGTGGGGGGCATCTGGGTGCTGGTGGTCACCATGTGGGAAAGTAAAGCCCAATGTCCTCAGAACTTCCACTGGTTTTCCCTAAGAGAAAACATAATTCTGGAATTGTACATGAAATCTCAAAATTCTTACACAATAAAAAATAGAACTCTAAGAAGACCCATCAGAGAAGTCCCCTGAGCCCTGTTTGCAATACATTACCAGCCCAATGGCAGAACAAACTCAGAGAATGTACTAATGATGAGTCAGCTGTTCTGGTGCTCTGAAGAGATGCAGGTCTGTATATCCTAGACGTAGAGAACTTCGCAGACGTTAAAAATCACACATGAACCAGACCCAGCAAACTGAACTAAAGAGTGCTTTACAAATTCAGGCTGAGACTAATCTGTGTACGCAAGAACCACAAGAACCACAAGATCAACTTGGATAAAAAAGCATCAAAGGCTGCAAAGTTCAGAAATTGAAGAACTCTAGGCTGTTCACACAGTGCCACTAACGATCTCATTGTTGTATAAATTTACTTAGATCCTGATGCCACAATTAATCAGAAGATGGAGTCAGTCTTATCCATTTCTAGCTCTAGGGGAAAAAATGTTACCAGGGAGAACAAATTATCCAAGATGTCTATAAACAGAAAAAGAAAATCCTTTTTAAAAAATTTACTAAAGTTTCCATGGCTTACAAGGTATGCAGTGAGATCTATATGTCAACTTAAAAAAAAAAAAATCCCATCTTCAACTCCCAATAGACTCTTCCCCTCCCCATTCTACTTTGTTCAATTCATCCAGTTCATCAAGTATTTGCATATATGGTCAGTTTAGTAACTTGAGTGCCTCCTATGAGAATTTATTCTGGGTGGAAACAGAAGGAAAGTTGCCTGGCCATAATTAAAGGTTATCTGTTGACATCTGTAACACAGCGTCTGCCATCAAACAAGTTTAACAATCCAGTTAAATTCACCAGTAGCAAGAGATTAGTGATAGATTAGTAATTGACCCTGGTTGGGCACTGGAATCCATGGGGTGCTCTTCATAATACTTATTCCCAAAGTCCACACCATATCCACTTGGTCAAAATCTTGGCAAAAGGGATTCAGGCACTTATACTGTTTGAAATGCTACATGTAAAAATCAGAGCTGATACTCAGCCAGGGTTGACAGCCCTGTAGGTTAAGGTTCAATTATCCATTCACCTGTGACATGTAATTTTGATGATAAATTTAACTAATTACTCAGTGATCCACACCTTGACTGCTTAAGGAGACAATCGCCTTCACTAGCTACTTCACTAAATTAGATTTAGTGCCCAAGACACTGATATAGTACCAGGATCCAAAGATAAGAACCCCATAATTCTAGCTCCTACATCAACTCACCTTCGAAGTTCAATTCATCCAATAGAAGTGAGGAACTCAGAGTACCAGAGTTCAGAGAGTAATTAAAGCCTTCCCCAAAGTTCCTCCTGTTTCTTCAGCAGCTCACCTATTTCTGGCCTTATCGTGTGTTGACTCAGCTGGTTCCAACATACCACAAATTCCAGCTTTCTTTGCTTATTCTCAGTAGGTGGTGTCCCTTCTCTAATGATGGGTACAAAATCTAGAAGGGTCTCCTTGGGATTCACTCACCCTCTAGCCCTTAGAAATAACTTCCATTCTCAGTCTTGGAACTTTTCTCCAATCTAGATTATTCAGGCCTCTGGAAGAAACAGATACCTTACATTCAAGTTTCCAACAAGTTTCTGCTTCATTGCATCTCCCTCCACCTGGATGCCTGAAGCATCTTGCCCAGTTTTTGGTTTGTATGCCATTAGGCTGAGGAACATCTTTCATAGATGCTCTGCAACTGCAGCAGCATTTGCTTCACAGATAGAACTTCTCCCTATAACATGAGCACTTGTCCCGGAAAAGATACAATGAAAAGGAATGTGACTGCTCTGTTAGCATGCTTGAAACCCTCTGCTGTGTAAGAAAGCAAAAATGATGCTATCTTGATGCATGACTATAGCAGATAACAAAGAAAGCCTTTGAAAACAAACTGAAAAAGATGGGTACATGGCAACATAGGCACAGCCCTTGGATTCAAGCACAGTTCCACCATTCTTTCACTAGCCACTCTATACCATGTGTATCAACCGGTTAAATGGGGAACTCCAGCTCTTGATGCTGTGGGAGAAAAGTCACATAATACATGGGAAGCTTCTAGCGTAGTGTCTGCACGGAGTAAGCATAGTACATGTTAGCTGGCATTATTATTGGACACAGAGTTTAAGCTTTGGTATCCAGAAAAATAAGAGTTTTGAATCTCTCTGCCTGGCTTACAGAAAATGAATTCATCACAAATTGTTGTACAAATTAAATTTTGACATTTCTGGTCTTCCTCCATTTTTTTTTAAAAAAAATCAATGAATAAAATAATGGGATATTTTCAGAGTATTTCATGCATTTCAAGTTACATTAGAAACACTAATAATTAGTTAAGTCTTATGCTCATGATATGCCATTAAATGAAAGTAGAGAAGAATAATATTTAGGGAAGGGGAAAACATCATTCTCCACATAAATTGAAATTTTAAAACTCAAAAATGAGAGCGAGATTTCATAAGCTTTGGGTGACCTTTAAATGTCACATTCACTAATATATAAATGCAAACACAGAAAAAAATGTAATGTCTGGCAATAATAGCAACCTGATCAATGAAATTACATTGAGTTCTGTGATATAAATTATGCTTCCAGATCAGAGTAGCAATTGCTTTTTATACTTATTTTTTAATGATCACTTACATGCTTGTAGCTTACCTCTGTAAATCTATGTCTAAATTTACAGTAAACTTCAACATGTACAAAATTTGAGGACATACATTATTGCTAATGAGTTAAAAGGTTAATTTATCACCTCAGTAAACAATTCTTCCATGAAATCAACTTTAGTAATTTGTATAGATTACATTGTTACAGCTAACATTAGTCAATTTTCAAAAGCCAGTGAAATATGATTTCAAAGATAATCATTTACTGGGTCAAATCTCAATTTTTAACTGAATTACATGATATAAATAGTATACCAATGTAACAATAGCACACAATGAAACGCTCAATGGGTTAGAGTCATACATTGCTTTATGTGCACATTAAACCGTTCCACTGCTTCAATTCTATTGTAAAGGGTACAGTTTTAGTAACTATCTGTAATTGTTTAAGGCTTTTCATTCTACTCTCTTCCAGTTCCTTTAAGTGTGTATGGGTGTTGGGGGGCGGTGCACTTGCACAAACACACATGTGAGTTCAGATGCTTTGGGGTTTAGAGTTGGATTTACAGGTAGTCATGAGCCATCAGATATGGGTTCTGGGAATTGAACTCTGTTCCCCTACATGAACAGTGCATACTCCCAATGGCTGAGCCATCTCGATAGCCTCTGACCTTCAATTCTTAACTGTTCAAAATAATATATACATGTATCCATCAAAAGTCTGTCATCTGGACATTGATTCTTAGGGGAAGCATAGAAATGACAGGTATTCCTTAAATCTCTAAACTAAATTCTTGGGGGAGGCAAGATGACTCAGAGGGTAAAGGCTCTTGCCACCAAGCCTGAAGGCCTATGTTGATCCACATCTACACAGTAGGAGGGAACCAAACTGGGCCAGTCCTTCTCTGACCTCCACATATGCACAATAGTATATGTGCACCCTCCATAAACACATTAAATAAATATGTGAAATTAAGAATTTTAAACTATGTACTTGGAAAAAGCAAAATGGTTTCTATACTTTGGATGGCATTAAAATAAATTAAAATTACAGTTTTTCATCTCAAGACTGGGCCAACTTGTTGACTATAACTTACAATATTATGTGAAAAATATTAAAAGAACTATTGTGTCCTAAAATAAGAGTTTGTGGCTTATCTGTTTGGGACGTAGCTGAGACATACAAAACATACCCTGTAAGAATTGAAAACAATTAACCCCGGTGGTGGTGCTGCATGTCTTTAATCCCAGCACACAGGAGGCAGAGTCAGGCAGATCTCTGTGAGTTTGAGACCAGTCTGGTCTACAAAGTGAATTCCAAGACAGTCAGAGCTGTTATGCAGAGAAATCCCATCTCAAAAAAAACAAAACCAACCAAACAAACAAACAAAAAAATCCAAAAACTTCAAGGTGCCTTTAGGAACATTCATTCATTCATTTAAAGACTTAAAGGTTCCATAGAAGGAAACAGAAAAGTTCCAAAAGCCATGCAGACACGCAACAAGCATTCTGCCACTTAGTATGCTAGATCTTGACTTTCACTTGTTCCTAACTTAAGCCGCAGAACTGTGGGTCACTCTTCTTTAGGTAGTAACCCAGGACCCGACACAGTCCACAGCTCATAGAAAGTGTGGCATTCAGCGGAAAACACCCCAGTGCAGGAGCTCCTATAAACAAGCAGCATCCCCACGTGAACTTCTGCCCAGGTCACCTCCCACCAGCCTGAGAACGCCTAAGGCGCCAATAGCTCTAACTTTGGAGGTGTTTCTTGAGCCAATCAATGCTCTATCCCCAAGGTGCCTCATTAGGGCGGGACTTAATGGGTCAGAAATCACACTTTAGGTGAGCAGCACTGGTTACATCACAGTATTCTCAAGTAGCTCCCCAAGCCCTAGGACTCAAACGCCTGGGGCTGTCTTAGAGGACAGCCTGGGTGTGTGGCCTTGGAAGTAGGCCTCAGATGGCCGAGGTGTGAGGACCCCTCAAGTGACAGGGCGAGCCTCCATTCCTTCCAGGGTTCTGAGTGGCAAAGCCAGGGCTTCCCGGGTCCCTTACATTAGCAGCCTGCAAAACTTGTGGCTGCAGGCAGCCCTCCCCCGCCGCTGGGGTGATCTGAGTGCCATAAAGAGCGCCACTTGGTCCGGGGAGTCAGGCAGGTGCGTGGCCTAGGGCGCTTGCGGATCCCCGCCGCTGTCGCGCAGCTTCCCCGCCCCCTGCGGCACCCCTCACCTGGTCCCGGGTCTTCAGGTACCGCTGTAGTGCCTGCTGGGTGAGCTCGCTGACGCGCAGCTGGCCGTCCTTGCAGGGCACCACGATGCCGGTCCTGCCGAAGCACACTGTCACTTTCATCCTGCCCCTGGGCTCCCGCGCGGGGCCGGGCCGAACAGGTGTCTGA